CCTGTGGCCAGTGCAGGATAGTACAGCTAGGTAGGCGTCCCCACCCACCTTGGAGCACACTGGTAGGCAGAGGTGTTTCTCCTCTCTGTCTGCTCTGCCTGTGGTGCATGGGTGCAGCACCAGGGCAGCACTTGTGCTTAGGGAGCAGCTGATGCTGAGTACAGCAGAGTCGATGGGAGTCTCCCCAAGGAGCTCACTGAGGTCTGGGTCAGGTATTTGAAGCTGCTTAAGTGAGCTGCTCTTTCTCTCTCCTCCCACTGCATCTCTGCTCACTATCCACATTGGAAGGCATGACCTAGCTGCTGCAGTAGCACATGGGGAAGCAAGGGCACCTGCCCAAAGGAAATAGCAGGCTGACTTAATAGGAGAGGAAAGATGTTGGGGTTGAGCTCAGCTTACCCTCAGTTTGTTTTTCAACCCAAGCGTTGACTTCCTTTCTGGATTGTTCCGGTGCTGTCTTAAAGTTAACCTTGTGTGGCTCTGCTTTGTAGTAGTTCTTACTGAGCTGTAGGTATATCTAAAAAAAAAAAAAAGTTCTATACTATACAGGATTTTTCAGTCCCAAAGGGAAGTTGTTAGCTCTTGGACTTTTTGATAGCTTCTTGAGCCTAGAGAACTGCAGGATCTTGCTTCTTACTCTCCGTTGGGCTGTGAGTTAACAGTTAAGAAATAACCAAAGGACAGAAAATTCCCTTCTTTTGTTCCCACTTTTATTTGGAGAAGTGAGGAAGGCTATGCACATCCCATGGATGTGCTTATTTTAATGTCTCATTTACAATTATATATATTGGGGGTTCCAAAAATAAAGCTGTATTGCATGAAAAGGAATCCCTACACTACAGTCAAAGGGCAATGCATCCTTAAATATTGTGAGCAGACCAACTGGTATTTTGCAGTTAAGTTTATCACTGGAATACAGGGCTCTTCATTTGCCATGTTCAGGGTCAGCTCCAAACCTGTTCTATTAATGACAAGTAATTAAAATGAGAAATATTTTTTGCACCTTTTCTTACTCCTCTTTGAGATTCAACTTACGGGCAACAATGGGAAGGTTTTTTCCACGTAAATGCGGTTGGCAGTTCTCAGCGAGTAGGTGCTTTTGGGTTTGTTGATGGCAGTCATGAGCTCTTTGAAGCCAGAATGGATATTTTCAGCTTGCTTGTGCTCAGGATCCTTGGAAAGAGAGACCATACATTCAGCAATTGCATTTTTGCATGAAGTTTTCAAAACATGCTAAGTTATGTATGTGGGAGGGGGATTTGGGTTCCTCTCTCTTCTATTTTTCCAAGTTTGCCATCACTGCAATTTGCAGGGCTCAGGATTAGCTGATTTGCCATATAGCAAACCTTCCAGACTATCCCAGTGACTTTTCCTTCCATGCTTCTCAGAGTCTGAGTGAGTGAAAGGAACTGAACTTGAACCTATGATGAAGTATGTTGGGTTTTATACTTCGAAGAGGGGTGCAGACAAGAAATACTGGACTCCTAAAGCTGTATCTGGACATTTTGATTCTGGAGATTCCTTATCTTGGGATTTCACTTCTATAGATACCATTTTTCTTCTCTTTGGTCTTCCCCGAGAAGGTCTGGCCACAGAAGAAGAGCCTTCAGCTCCTGCTGCTTGAGTGAAATGAAGAACCTGCAAGCAGAGTTTCCAAAGGTAAGAAATAAGCTTAATGGAACTGGGGTGACTTAAAGCCAAATGGGGATCAAATGGTTGTCTTTCTTTGCTCCATATAATAACTCACTGTGCTATGTGCTGCTTAGGTGACTAATGAAAGGGATGCTGAAGCTGTAGTGTACGTAAATCCCGTAGAGTAACAATGAGTAGCACTGTCCCCCTCCTAGAGCATCGAGGCAGTGTTTCTGTCTGCATGCTGCAAGGCTGAACTCCCTTCCACAGCTGTTGCTCTCAGCAATAGCAATGTGTTTGTGCAAACCCAAATGTTCTCCCCACGATAATAGTACAAAGGCATCTGAACAGGAGTGCAGTGACACAAAGGAGAGTGCTGAGCACCACTGCTCCCTTTGAGCCAGCAATGTGCCCATGTGGTGTTAGGAAGGATTGGGTTGGGGGTTGTGGAGATACCGAATCCCTTCCTGTTTTCCTGCTGGATTGTCAGGGAGTTGTTTAGGAAAGCATAAATCAAGATAGAAAGATGCATCCTGGCCAGGAGAGAGAGGGAGGGTGCTGGGATCTGGAAACCTCCAGCCAATTAGGAGCTACTGGCATCAGCTGTTTGCTTCTCAAAGGGAATATCTCACCTGTGACAGAATCATAGAATCACAGGATAAATTAGAAGGTGTAGAATACTTTAGAAGAAGTGATGTTCAGAGAACTACCATGCTCATTATGTGATACTCACAGGACACTTTCCCTTAGAGGAGAAGTGGGGGACCTGCTATGAAATTAATAAAGTTTGTCATTCAGTTGTTACATTCTCTGGACTACCTTAGTTCCTTGTCATTGTGGTGGCAAGTTTTTGTATCTAACGCTACATTTTGCAGCCAGTATGGGAGCCAGGTATTGTATGGGGTTGTATGCTTCATAGAGCCACCTACCTCTGCCATCTCTGTTGCTGTATTGCCTTTTGCACCCAGGTACATTAGAGCCAGAGCAGATGATATGCTCCAAGGAGAAAAGAAAATGTTTTCTCTCGACCCTTTCTCCCCCCAGCCTGTACTGATACCGAGGCTTACCCCGACCCAGGTGCAGGACCTTGCACTTGGCCTTGTTGAACCTCATGGGGGTCACACAGGCCCACCTATCTAGCCTGTCCAGGTCTCTCTGGATGGCATCCCGTCCTTCTGGTGTGTCAACCGCACCACTCAGCTTGGTGTCATCCGCAAACTTGCTGAGGGTGCACTTGATCTCGCTGTCTAAGTCATTGATGAAAACATTAAACAGCACCGGTCCCAGCACGGACCCCTGAGGGACAATATACAGCTGCAGTTTTCTTTGTGTTTCTTTCTGCCTTTGGTTTTCAAAAATGTGCAGATTTGTAAGCTGCGTATTTTTCTTCCTTTTTGTCCTTAACTAATGATTTATCAAAGTCATGTTCCCAGGGGAATTTAAATGCAGTTTTAGTACATAGATTCACAATACACCTGAGTTTCCCATTACTTGCTTTTGGATATGTATAGAATTGAAAGCTGATACCAAGAAAGAATTTAGGCATAATTCTCTTGTGCTTTTCCTGGCCAGCCACCTAATCTGAGTGGTATCATGAATAGCAAAGCTGTTATTTGCTTTTAGATTAATGGAATTTTATTCATTACGTGTACCTACCGCCAATTCTGTATGTTCCAGCAATTTTATTTTCCCCAGAAACAGGCAGATTTCTTGAGGTTAGAGTATTCCAAACTTCAAGGTACAAGAAACGCTGTTGTTGTTGTTGTTGTTGTTGTTGTTATTAAGATTTGTATCTATGGAATGGAGCTACAGAAACTGTGGGGCAATCTCTCAAGTCTACAGGTATTTATCAAGTGTTTGTTTCCAAATGACTACAGTTCTTCTGGCAGTCAGTATGTTGTCAGTACCAAATCTGTACCACAGAGGGATTTCCTTTCCCTGGAGAACACAACAAAGAGAGCATCCAGATGGAATTTTCCGTTTTCTGCTAGTGAATACTCCTCTGAGTCCCTGGCCTGATAATGTTCTGTGCTGTGCCTTTGCAGAATGAAAATGGCCTTTTCTTCACCTGAAGTATGGGACTCCTTTATCAAACTGAAGATTTTAATAAGACAGTTACTGCCCTAAGAAAACTGTCCTTCTTGTGATCAATTTTGCCCCGAATTGTCACTTTTCCTTAGCATCACAGATTTATTTTCTCTAAGGGTTGACATCTAGAAAAACATGAGTGCAAGAATAATGCACTGTAATACTGTTATATTATAATTCACCTATATAGTCATGCAAGCCACAGATCACTTCTTAAAAGCATCAGAAAAGTTACTTAAATTGGTTTAAATATTTACCTCTGATCCCGTGAGGGAGAAGACTTAGATCTTGTCCTCGGTCAGGTTCTGTGTTTCTGTGTTAAGCAATGAATACATTTAGAAATATAGTACTGCTTGCACCTCCCTTTCCTTCTTTCCTACATCCAGGTTGTTTCCGCCTACCCAAAGCTCCATTCTACCAAATGCCCAAAAGACCTTACGTAATTTTGTCCTCCTTGTTGACCTTGTCACTTTTCAGTTTTAGACATTTCAAAAGGACAATGGAATTAAAATCTCAGCTCTATTGTTACACCACAATAGTCTGCTGACAGGGCAGCAGAACAGTTCACCCATTCCAGTGGTATTCTGGTGTTGTGGAGACAACTGGTCTGTTGTTTAAAATAAATGACTAGTAAAAAGGTTGCACAGCTAGAAGGTTTGGGTTTGGTTTCTGGATATAAACAGATATTGTAGGCCTGATTGTCCTCTCCGGCTTTGTGCAGCTGTGACTCCTGGGTTTCAAATACAGTATGTCAGCATGAAATGTCAAGCTTAGTGATTGAATTAGGCACTGGGATTCCAGCTTCAGATTGAAGATCATTAGGAGCATAGGCAGAGGCAAAGCCATGAAGGACCATTCAGGGTAAGGGATGGACACCCCACTGGTTGTGTTGGTGAAGAAATCTCATTGCAACCATGTCTGGGAATGATTTGAGAGAAACACTGCAAAACACTGAGTTAGTGCACAGTACTTGCATGTAGCGAAGGAGGGCAAGAACTGAAATAACCCCACTGGGAGGGCTTGAGCAAGGATAGAGTGAAAAAATAGAACGGGGCAAACACGGCACAGTAGTTGTCACTCTGCAGTCCCAGAAGAGAGCTGGGCTGCTGTTGCATGGTGGAAGAAGGAGAAGGTGGTGGCAGCAACTGTAAGGCCCTGGGTGACAAAGGAAGGGGAATGGAGGAAGGGAAGGAAACTGTACTGTGTGCTAAGCATTTTGCTGCAAGCCTGATTACAGGAACAGAGTGGGTCAAGTCTTCTAAAAAGTGGCAGAAATCAATGTTGTGCAAGGCAATGAAGAAATGCCAGAAATTATACCAGTATTGGTTTTAGTACAATGGGTATGTCCTCAAGAAATCAGGACAGGAGAAAGGTTAGGTGGTGGGAAAGCACAAGCCAGGAGAATCCAATTCCCAAAGAAGTATGCTGAAAGTGAGCAAGCTAGCTCCCTTTGCTAGTCAAGATGCAAGGATGCCAGGCAGGATGAGAAAGGGAGGTGGCAAGGTGGAATGGCTGTTGACAGAGAGAGAAAATCACACGTGATAATTGAAAGGGACATCCAGAGGTCAACCTCCTGCTTGGAGAAGGGCCATCAGTAGATAAGGTCAGCCACAGCCCTTCCGAGGATGGAGATTCACCAATCTTTCTGGGCAGTCTTCTCCTTTGCTGCGCTGCTCACCCTGGGAAAAGGTTGTTCCCTAATGTGCAATTCACCCTTTAAGTGTTGTGGCCATTGCCACTCGGTAATGATCTGGCACTGCCAAGAGGATGTTAAGTCTGTTATCTTTGCATTCATGCTTACAATAGTTGAAGGAGAGAGAATAGGTGGCTCACATTTCCACTGAATTTAAAGGCCTGTGAATGAGTTTGGGTGCATGTTGTTATGGTTTTGTTCCCCCTTGGCCTCCCAGGCATGGCTTTCCTGTCTTCATTCTTGAGGCACATCAGGAAGTGCTTAAGGGACTTGGCCATGGGGATGGGAAGCCCTTGCATTAGGCAAAGCAGGGCATGGCAAAATTGCACCTGAGTGCACAGCTGAGTCAACAGCAGTGTCGTTGAGGTTATACAGGGATACAGTAAAGCACCTGCTTCACAAGACTTTTCCTATGCTCCTTCCCATTTGGGAAGAAGAACCAGAAGGGACTCTGGAAACAGTTGGTAACATGGAAGAAAACAGAAAGGACTCAGTGACGGAAAAGGAAAAAGGAGTCCTGCTGTCCCAAGAAGAGATATTTCTAGTAAGGTGCTGGTGGTGTGTGCAAGTCCTGTAAGAGATCCAGTCCTTTGCTCTCTGTTATGAATTCAGAGCGTTAGGAGCATCCCCTGCAAATGTGCGTGACTGCTTAGGACACTCTTCTCCTTAGGAGAGATAGCTGTGACAGGAGTAAATGTGTACAGAGGGATTTGCATGTTATCTTCCAGAAGTCACTTAGGGAGTTGTAATACAGTTGGTATTACAATTTGATCTTGCCTCAAATGAGTGCAATAAGTGACAAAGAAAAATGAGAGTAAAGCAGTGCAGTGCTGGGCTGGAAACAGTGTTGAATGCATGAAAGGTTACAAAGGAGAACATTTCAAGGCACATACATTTTATTTTCCTCCAATTCTGTATTGTTGTTCAATATTTTCCAATTGCTGTGGGACAGACATTGGAAAGTATATGTGTTAACCCCTCTGCAAGCATGAAAGAAGCACCAGTATCAGGAACACACAAGATTTTGCAGGCTTATTTCATTACCAGCAGTGCCAGGCTGCAAAGTTGGTATAAAACTGACAAGAACATGGGTGAGGTAGCCCTCCTGGGATGACCAGCTTAGCGAGCTGAAGCCACTGGAGATGCATGAGTGTTCTGCAGGAAGGAGTTTTTTTCCTGTTTCTTTTCTTCTTATGCACCAAAGCAAGGAGGTTGGGAATTACTGTTTTAGATCATTTTAGTCTGTTCTGCATTGTGGCAGTTGTGGTTCAGAAAGCGCTGAAAAGAGGCATCAGTGTTGTTCTCTGCACAGTTTGGTACTAGTCTAGGAAAATGAGCCAGAGGCTTGAATTCCAGGTTATTTTTAATATGTGCTCTCTTCTAACATTGAGAGATTTGTCAGCAGTACAGGAAAATGAAGAAGTTGTGCACAGACTATTGAGATGCTCTTTGTGGTGTGTATTTTGTTTATTATTGTTGTGAGGGCCTCTTTAGTAATGGGCAAGTTTCTAGGGGGAAGAGAACCTTCCCAAGAAGAGGATACTCTGGGTCTTGTTGTGCCTGATAAAGAAGAGGAAAGGGTGATCTGCTACAAAAATAATAGCAGCACCAAGACTTCGTGATACCAGTGCTGCTGAACTGGCAGCTGCTGCCTCTGTGCCTTCTTCATTGACTTCCAGATAACACTTGTGGAAAACTTGTGACAAAAACAGCTCGCCATTCTCTGACATTCCTGTGAAATCTGCTTGACCTTCAGTGAAGGCATCTTGTATCCCCATCCTGCTCAAAGTAGATTTGAGGTCGTATTTCTCTTCTAACGTGAACCTGGGCAGATAAACTTCCATTTTCATTTTCTCCATTAATTCTGGGCTGGTCCATGCAGACAAGTTTTCAAAAGTCAATTCTTTTTCTAGCTGCAGTTAATAAAAAGAGAATCAGAAAATTACAGTGTTCAAAAACCTGTGCCCTAAGGGCTCTTCTCTTCTATTAAATGGAGAACTTTTCAAGCTGTTGTAGGAATACAAAAAAAAACAGTAATGAAAGACAAATTTGGAGATCTTTTTGACTCAAGGAGTGTGTTGCTCCACAGTAGGTCAATGCAGTATTTGAATTGTTCTCAGTAATTATCAGGGAATATAGCAGGGTTAAATCATTGTAGAATAAAAATATCAGTGTCAAGTAACAATAGTCTGGTTGATTTGCCGTTCACATTTCAGTCTTCCCTTCATTTTAGAATTTACTGAGAAGAGCTTTTTTTCTACAGAATACTTACTAATGTAAATGAGAATTTAATAAGAGTTTATTATCCAAAGGCGGAATCTGTCTCTTTACAGAAGGTGGCAGTGTCCATATGTATTAGCTCTGGGCCTCCTGGAAAGTAAGGGAGTCTGTCCAATTTGTGGGGGGTTTTATTGCAATGAAATCATATCTGTCTGAATCAGTACAGACAGTGAATCTCAGCAGGGCTGGCTTTCTGTCCTCATTTTTGTTCAGCTGGAAGAAGAGCCAGTCTTGTAGGGTTTGGGTTACCTATTTCCAGGGCTGATCAACATTAGGAACCACAGAAGTGCCAGCTGCCAAGAGTAAGAAATCTAATCTGAGTTCCAAGAGGTTCAAGTTTACAGTGCTAGACCAAGTTTGGGGTTTGCTTTTCCTTGAGCCTGATCAATACTCTCCTTCTTAGGAACATGACTGCAACCTGGTCTTTTACCTCGCGTATGCATAAAGTAAGTAAATAATGACACTCTTGTTTTTTCACATGATTTATGTTCGCAGTTGCTTTACCTTTTGTAGGCCAGTGATGTCACTTGGTAGCAGGATAAACATGCTGAGGTCATTGTTGACGTATGGAAGCTCAAGAATGTCAGTCTGGACTGATTCTATGTAGGTCCAGTTAAATTTATCACTCAGGTGCATCATTGGCACTGGCTTTGTTGTATGCTGCAACAAATCAAATTAGATGCTTGCCATTTGTATTCTTGACTGAAGAGTAAAGGACTGAGTTAAAGTAGCAGAGAGGAAGTTTATTGTATTTACTGTACAAGCTGCCCAGTGTGTCTGGACATCCTTATGGCTCTAAGTGGTAGGACACAGGATCTACAAGGGACCTCTGGTCTTCTGGAAAGGCACTTGGAGGCTAGGCAGGCTATCTAAGCTGTCTCGGGGGCACCTATTGCAGGAAGCTGTATTCCACTCTGATTTGTCGTATGGTTAAAAATGAAAATGTAAAGAACTAACCCATACAGTTTTGTTCACCTCTTTGTTTTCCCTGCCTTCAGAGAATGAAAGCTTGTTTCAAGTCGGCTTCTAACAGTTTTACTTGTGGCTCAGGTGCTAGTATGTGTGTGCAGTCTTTGCGCTGAAGATGTGGTGAAGAAAATACACTGTATGCATTAAATGGAATAACCCTCATGCTGGATTTCATGTGGATTTAAATACTGACAGGAATTTCTCTCCCTCATCTTTTTCATTGCTTTTTCTACCTGCAGTCTAGGATATAGGTCAATATATTCCCATACCGTGTTTATTCTGAAAGGCCTTTGCCTGGTAGCTTCAGCTTCAAACTTTGTTGCCCAGTTTCCTTTGAAGTAGAGTGCATTTGTCAGCACTAGTCTGGTGAGTGCGTCTATGGATCCAGGAGGCAGCAGATTTTGGATTTTACCTAGAGAAAACAGAAGGACTTTTACACATTTGTGCAGTTTTACTGTTTCAGAGTAATTGTTGGCACGCTTTCTGCAGATATAAGCCAGGGAAATTGTAAGTGCTGATATAGCATGCTTCTAGTTTGAGATTATTCGCAGATAAGTGGTTACTGGAGTAATCTTGATTTACAAAGAAGAGTAAGCCACATTCCTCACATGTTCAGATGGAGGACACGAATTTTACTAAGGGCTTTTCAGTGGATGACTGCTTGATGAAAACTGATCTGATTTACCTTTCTGAGGAGAATTGTTTACCTGCCTTGGGCTCCTTGGGTCTTTGTTCAATGTAAAGATGGCTTCTTTTTGAATTGGGAGAGGAGAGGCAGGAGCTTACCTTCAGTCTGGTGTTCGACCCTGGAATTGATCTCTCTTCTGATTTCGTCTGCTGCTCCCACAAAGTCAACTGATTGTGGCTCTGCATTGTAGTATTTCTTGGCTAACTGTAAGTATTCCTGCAGTGCGAGAGAGACAGCTGTCTTATGTTTCTCGTCTGCCAATATGAATGCTAATAAATAACTACAGCCAAATAGAGAGAAAACATTACAGAAATGACACAAACTACAAACTGCATTTTGTCAAAGGAACGAAGTATTTTTAGTGGAAATACTCAATTTAAATGTTTGTGCCTAACCACAACTGCAAATCACCCTGAAATTAGATACATATCCCATAAAAGTAAAATTTTAGTGTCCAAAGTCTCAGGAAGAGTCTCATAGAAAATATTTATGTTAAGGATAACAACGTGATTTGCAGATGTAGTGAAAATATTTAAAAGAATATAGTTTATGGTATGTTGTCATAGATAGATCATAAAGGTTAAATGGCCACATAATCTGACTAAATGGCCTACCTACCTTACTGAAAGGCAATGTTTTTTCTCCATATAACTGGTTGACGCTTTTAAGCAGGTAATTTTTAGTGGGTTCGTTGATTTCAAAGTTGAGTGCTTTAAACTCAGCATGTACATTACTCGATTTGCCAATTTCTGTCTTGGAGAAAAGGAAAAAAAAGCTGCTCATCTGTTGTATAAAATAGTTCAAAATTTCTAATTTCTTCCTTCATGCATCTCCATGGAAAGTATTTCTACTGAGGTGATCTGTTACCTGTATTGCAGCACAAGAGGTGTTCTAAAACAGACAGCTATTGAAGGAACCATTTGAAAGTATTAAAAGTTGGAGACATGGTATAGACACTATGAGTGTCTCAGAATGCAAGCAGTAAGAGCCTAAACTGTGTAAAACATCTAAGGGTTTCAAAGTGGAGACTGTGAAACTAAGTATATCGAGGGTGAGAGACAGAATGTAACTGTTAAACAATGCATGAAGATTTGGCTGTGTGATTCCTTTCACTTATGGAAGTTGAGTGTGTTACATGGGAAGTTTGCCCCTAAATTTTTAATCTTGCTCTTATTGTTAATATTTTGTAGATTTTTTTATGTTGCAGTAATTGCAGTAAATTTGTTTTCTTGAAGTAACAGGATTAAATGAATGTGAGCTCAAACTCTCAAATGAGCTCAAGGTAGTTAAGCTGTGAATTAGTAAACTAAAAATCTGTGCTGTATTCATCTTGTCATTCGATCAGAATCAGAGGCATGAACAGACACTGAAATTTCTAAACTGTTAGAACGGTCCCTTTGCCCTACCCACCATGTGCTGTTATTCTTAAAATTCAGGCAAGCGTTACTCATGAGGAACAATCCCGCTCCTGTTCATGCAGTGCAAATGAGTTGTTGACATAGCCCCTAAAATAAATCTTCCTGCCATAGGATTTGGCTGTGGAATGCAGATCCAAGTTCCCATTCATCAGAACTCGCGGCTGCTGGGGCTTTGTGGGCAGCCTGCAGGGAAATGGCTCACTCCCACAAAGAATAAGGGTGACGGGAAAGAGCTGGGAGAAGAGCTTAATGCCACCAGGGTTGAACTGTCAATGAGGAAAACCTGCCTTTACTGACTCAGAGGGATTACATTTGCTTTTCTGTATTTTTCTGCTATCTTAAATTATGTATACTTTGGTACAAGACGCCTGCCAGTATGTCAAAGAAATATCTCAGGAATATAATGATTTCCACTTCTCTAATATTTATTGCAAGCAATGGGTCTACCTGGGGAAATTCCAACATGTCTTTTTATTTTGTTAACTAGTCAACTGAAATGGAGACTAATTTCTGAAGAAGGCTACCTACCAAGCATAGGTAGCCTGGAGAAGTTAATACTTTGGTTTCTGTTGTCTTGCTGCAATCAAATGTGTGCGAGGGCAGCTCTGTTCTTGTGATTAGCGCTCTGAGGTAGGGACCATGCCTGTTCAAAGAACATGGTTTTGCTAAACAGCTAGTTATTGAACAGTAATCATTTGAGAAAAAAATCCCTCCTCAAAGCTAAAGGAAACAGATCAAGAGATACATTGACAGAGAATGGTAATGTTACATTGTAAATTTTGCAAATTTGAGGTTAGTTTTTGCAATTCTGCCTAGGAAGGGGAAGCATGTAATAAGTATTGCAGTAGATGAAGGTATCACAGAATACTGTACTAATTAATTGTGTACACTGCATCTGAGGAAGGCAAACATAGGCAAATGCAAATGTGGAAGGAAAATACAAGCAAGAGAAGATGTGACCATGCCCGTAGCTTGATCACTGGACTTGGTGAGATACCTTCTGGAAGCAGGCACATCGATTTGATAGACGTTCTTCCGTTCTGGAATAGACTTGCATTTTTATGGTTGTGGTGACGTTTCTGGCTCCTTCAGCTTTGTTAAAGTGAAGTACCTATAGCAATAATAAATGCAACGAAAATTTGCTGTTTGGGTAAAATCTTTCAGTGATGCCATTGGACTGGTGATGAAAAGAGTCAAACTCACATTTTATTCTTTTGTACAGTCCTGATTGAATGTGAAAACTTTGGTTAGGCCTTGAGGCCCACATCTACGAAATGGCATAAGTACATTAAGCTGAGTGTTGCAAGGCAATACTCTCATGTAATTAGCCTTTCAGGAGGAATCTACCTGCCTTAAGTTATGCTCTGGGCTGACCAGTTAATACCTGGGAAGAGCCAGTTATCTCCAGATGGAGACTTACCAAAGCAGAAGTCTAAATGGAGTGCTGCTATGTGTCAGTTCCATGCCTTAAATCCCTTGCTCTGGGCGTGTGCACCTTACCCAGGCTACAAAGGGGTGCGTCCAACCTTGGAGCATTTTTCAGACAAGCTATGCCTTTTCCCTTCTTCCTAGCAGAATATCGGTCCTTTCTTTGTTACCCTGCTGGCCCTCTTTTGTCCCGTAAATCAGGAATTAGATCACTGCCTGAGCAGGTGGGACAACTTCTGCTTTAGCAGATGCAAAGTCACAAGCCTCCCCTCCTAGGACCGGAGCTAATACGATTTAGGGATTTGAGTAAGTAATTTTGCCTGTAAAATACACACCCCAAGAGTTGTAGTCTCGCCTTGCTTCTTCTCTGATCTTGTGAATGTGGATTTATGTTTAGCAAAGTGCAAAACTTAGAATAGCTACAGGGGAGAGTCTTTTTTGTGGGGGGTCATTTCCAAAGAGATGAGATGTGAGATGGGAATTGTCTGTGGCAGAATAGAGGGAGAATCCAGGTCTCCCACGCCCTGGTGAGTGAGCTTTGGGATAAAGATCCCTTGTTTCTGCCAGTGAGATTTAAAAGGAGACGATGTCACCAGTGCCACTTCTCTCGTTTGTTTGGGGCCTGTTTCCAGAGACTAGAATAGACTATTTCTTTGACATGCACAGGTGGAGAAGTGGTCTGTTCATGGCAGTGCACATCGGGGGTGAGGCAGGAACTGGCATATATGTGTGTAGAGTTTTGATTGATTAGAGTAATTTTGCTGCTTATGGCTTTCCTCTGCTTCATCATAGTAAATTTCTTGCATAGAAGATGTTATTCTGAGAGATCAGCCTTTTCAGACAGCTACCTTTTGAAGCCCAGACTCACCTTTGCCATCTGATCTGCAGTATTACCTTTGGCTCCCAAATAAACAGTAGCCAGGGCAGATGAAATACTCAAAGGGGAGAACAAAATATTCTTGTCACCATCTTCCTGACACTCATGTTTGAAAAAGTCAAGAGCAAAGCTTGTGTTTGCTTCTTTCAAAGCTTCCATTGTTCTGAACCTGCACAGAAAGGTAGAAAGATGCTATTAGTGAACCACTAATTATGACTGCTATGTGCCTGCAAGTTTCTGTTCAGTTTTGGAAGTTTCTTATGTGTTTTAAAAGCTTTCTAAAAGTATTTATGAAGAATGGGGAGGATGAACTATTATAAAGTCATATAAAGTGTAGCACGTCCTGTTTCACTGATGACACAAGCTGTCGCTTGAGTTAGGGAAAAAGCAGCCTCCAACCTTGTTTTGTATTTGTTCACCAGGACATTTACTGCACTCCTCCATCTCGGAGTGACAGCTGATAATGTTATTCACCAGTGCCTGGGCTGGAGGCTACTGAGAGACTGTCTCTTATGACATCTTTTATGCTTCAGTTTGTGCATGAGCCTTTTGATGCTCATAACTGTAGTGAACAGTTACTCTGGTAACAGTAACAGTCAAACTATGCTTTTAGGAAAGGACAAAATACTCCTTCCGATGCTTGGGCAAGCACTGCCCCAACTATTGCATGCTAAGCATCCTGAATTCCCTTTTTGACTTTCAAAAACATCCTGAAACTGTCTTACAGTGCTAGCACAGATCCTAACTTCCCAGTTCTTCTGCAGGACAAGGTTTCCATATTCAGTAGACCACAAGTGCTGCTATTTGTCATTTGCATTGCAGGTTTAGCTGAGAGCTCTAGGCAGGGACTAGGATCTATTCTGGCTGGTATAGGATGGCCTGAGAACAAAGGCAGTTCATGACCTGAGTAGCTTGCAAACCAGGAGCTGACCTGGTGTTCATAAGAACTGAAGAGCATAGGAACAAATTAGCTGACTTAAGCAAACACAGTGGTTTCTTACTCTGCTATGATATATATGCTAGCCAGTGAGCTCTAGAAATTATAGAACTCAGTACAATAAATTGCTCTTCCTGTATATTTTTAAGACTTCTACCTTCTAGACCATGCCTGTGCCATCTCAATAAATTACTTTCCCAAGCATTTGTTATTTCCAATTCAGAAACTGCTTTTTTTTTCTATGCATTTGTCAACAAAGCAACATCACCCAAGACTATATGAAATAATCTCTAGAAATCATTACAGTACCTTGTGTTGTGCAGGAAAGAACGCTGCTGCTCTGGATGTCTCCAAGGTTTCTGCAGTTCACATGAAGGGTAGGGTGAATTTATAGTGTGTTTGACCAGTTCTGCAGAGGTTCTTATGACTCAAGACTGTGCAATTTATTATGCCCCAAAGGCCACATCCCTGTGGAAGAAATGAATCATCTCAGGGTAGGATGTGAAGTGATGGTGAGAATGATACCATACAAGAATCTTACAAAAGTTACTGCAGAAGTACTTCTGTAAACACTTTTGTGACAACAGGCTAGTAACAACTTGAACCCGCGCTAATTCATACAACCTTTCTTTTGCGATTTGGAGGGTTTAAAAAAAAGGCAGTAGCTGACCTACTTCTTTTATGATTTGTCTAATAGAAATTATTTCTGAGAAACAGACAGAGTAGTGACTTCTTATGTGTGAGTTTTTCTATTGTCTGTTTTCTACTGAGAAAGTATTTGTCACTCCTAGTAGGTTTCTGTTTTAGAAAAATGGATTTTATTAATCTTGGAGGATTCTAAGACTGTACAACCAAGGAAATGTTGTCCCTGTGAGATAGTGAAGGTTGAGAAACAGGCCCTTGCTTTTATTATCAGTAACAACATCACTAAAACCTGATGTGGGTCTTAGATTAGACTTAATTTTTCTTCTGCTTCTGTTTCTGCACTCTAAAAGCTGCTGTTTGACCAATGTAACACAGCAGAGATCTATTCCTTATTTTCCCTTCCAAAAATGGATATTCTGTCAAATCCTCCTTCTTCTTGCCTTGGATACTAAAATACCTTCTTCCCTGATTTTCTTTGCAGTCATGCTGTCCCTTCTTCTGTTGTCCTTTTTGTAGCTGTCCATCCCCGCTCTGACCCCTTGTGCAATCCTACCCCTGCGCTTTATTTCATTCTTTACCTCTCTGCCCTGTTGATAATGCCACCTTGAGAACCTGGATAGGAGCTGCTTGTCTCTCAAGGGCTGCCTCCTCGATACCAAGCCAGACTCACTCACAAGGTCTATCTCTTCGGCATAAACTGCCTTCTGAGAGCTTTCTTCTGACCTGCTGCCTATGAGCACGCATTTAACATGGATTCATGTTGTAGGTCAGTGCCTGGTACAGAGGATCCTGTAATGAGTAATGAGCCGTGGGAGTACCTGCAAAATTTGGTGTAGGGCATAGGAGGGCGCAGCTGCAAAGCATCCCTTGCCAAGAGTGAACCTTCTGCATCAAGATAATTTGGGAACCGAAAGCTTTGTTAAAGTTGCTTTCCAACTTGTGAGGAACCACACAACTTTAATCGGATGGTGTTCTCTTGCCCTTCGGGTCTTTTGAAATTGTAGCTACACAAAAAACAGTATGTTCCAGTGTGAGTTGTAATTAGGTGCATCTGTTATGTTTCCCAGAGAGCAACATAGGAAAGGTGTTCACTGCAGAATTAATTGCTTCCATTGCGCCAGGGAAGGTTGTAATCTGTTTACATTGGCCTTAAGTGATTTCCAAAGCCTAAATGATTTGAGTAATCTTTGCAAATTTAGCCATGTTGTTGAATGAGTGAGAGATAACACTGGATTGACTTCATCCCTTAGAGCAATTACTGTGGATTTTCTGGTTTTAAAGCAGGGGTGAATTTATTTGCTGACTTGTAATACTGCTTGCTGCTTTACAAGAAGTGGCTGAGGTGTTCTGTTTATGCAGAAATGTTGGGTTAGACTGAACGAGAGGCTTGTGCCTTTGGCTTTAAAGCTACCTTTTAAAAACACCTCTTGAATAGCATGGCTGGTCATTAGCCAAAAAAAAGTGCACACCGAGTAAAATTATACTCATCTCAAAGGACAATATATGCTAAATCAACGTGATGAATTGATACCGTTTTCCAATATGCTTTTAAATTAGCACCACCAGAGGACGCGGCTCGATGGGTGGTGTGCTGCTGACTCAGTAGCAGCAGTACTCTTACTCCCACTCTATACTAAGTCAACACAGCAGCACACTAGAAGACTTATTTTTGTATTAATAGTATCCTTCCTGTGGAAAGTAAACCTGTGGGCTCTTTCACTGTAGGCTTTCTTGTTTCCGTTTGGTCAGGACAAATATTGGCAGGACATCAGCGCCCTGGCCAGGTCTCAGCTATATAAATGCATTTTGTTTTCCTCCAGTTTCAGCGTAACTGAGCACAAGTGGTTTTGCCTTTCCTACACAGTGTGTTGGTCTGTTTGTTAGCACCTGGGTTCAGGAGCAGGTGAAACACTTGATGTCTAAACAGAGCTTTATAAAGTGCTCTATAAAGGTCCTTGAGTGTCTCGAGAGAAAGACTTTCTGTCACAGAAAAATGGTAGCTTCTGCTTTCACACAGTATTTTAGGATACAACTTTGCATGGCTGGTTTTCATGTTTATTGGTAGCTTATTTTAGCTATCAACTCTGTATGGCTTTTGGAAATCTGATTTAATTCAAAACTAGCACGTTCTCTATTTCAGGTGGATCAAAAGAATAAGTGTTGTTTGAAGGAAAGCTGTTCAGTTTCCCTGACATCTTCAAATATTTTTTGTACGAGTATAAGCACTGTTTATTTACTTGGGAGGGAAGAATTTCTGGTTCAGCCAGCAGAGCATTCTATTCACGTTTTTGGCTCAGCCAGAGCAGATGAGTAGATTTTAAACATGAAAGGATTTTAAATGTCCCCAAACCTTTAAAAGAACTTCAGGAGATACAGGAAGCATGGGGAGGAGAAGGATTTTGCAATCTGAGAGTATTTTAATCCCTTTGGAGGTCTGATGTAATTTTTTTAAAAATCTCTGTAAGTAGGACAGGGCACAGAAACTGAGGAAATAGGAAGAGTGCTGAGTGACTACATACGTGAACTTTTCTGTGCTGAGGAGGGCTCTCCTCTGGGTCATGCCTCTGTCACAGTGTAATTGAGAGCATGACATGGGCTTTTCCTAACCTTGTCAACTAAAAGAAAATAATGACGTATATGCTTCACCTCAACTGGTTATAACAGATTTTGGATTGTGCCATAACAAATTGTTATGTAGGATAAGTTTGTATCATCCTGAAGTCTCCAATAGTTTTTAAGTTTAAGAGAGATTAGTTCTCTGGGTATCTTTTTTCCCTTTGAAGTGTTGGTTGAGAACACACAAGTCTTTATTTTGGAACAGAGTAGATAGCTACCTGTTGTATACCTCCTACAAGTAAGTTTTGCAAGCCTTCCTTTGCCAGGCAATCCTTGCCGACATACTCTAACAGTATTTAAAACCCTATGAGTTGCCAGAGGGTGTGGTGAAGTTCCTGTATAAATATTTCTGAGGCATTTTGCTCCATGCCTGCAGAAAACAAAGGTGTGGTGAAATTTGACTGTACTGGCACACTTCATACTTTACTAGTATTTCTGCATGCTTTGGCTTAGATATTGTAATTAATAAAGGTAGTGTTTGTCCTGAGAAATTCAGCCCTGTTAGGAAGTGCAACACTTCTGAGAAAGGACGGATCTCTATATCTGAAAAGAGAGTTTATCTGTTAATGAATACGCACACTGTTTTTACATATGCAAGAGTGAAGTTTTCCTTTGAATGACTCAGGTGGTGAGCGTTTTTAAAGTATCCCAGAGTGGCCTGAATTTCTCAATCATGATACACACTACTGCATTATGAGCAATGACGTATGTGTGGCTTGTATGCACTTTAGCCACCACTTACAATTTTTCCAAAATCTGTCAAAGGGTGTAACTGTACATCAGCTGCATAACTACTGAATCAGAAAACTGATCCCTGCTTTGTGATAATGGGAGTTTCCCAGGCTGCAGTGAGGTAGTGCAAGAAGTGCCATGTTGTGGGATGAAGAAGGTGAGTATCAAGTCAAGGTATCTTCAAAACACATTTCTAAACAAGAGTGCATCCTCAACAGGAGCCTTGTGCTGATGTGCAAGAGCAGGGTATAGAGGAAGGGCCCTCTTGTAGGAAACCCATTTAAGCATTTGCTGGTTTTTCATACAGCTTGACTGCAAATATTCTTGCCTGGTGGAGTGACCAGGGGTTTCAGAAGGCAGCTGGTATTTTTGGGAGTTTCATCAGGTGGATTTCCCTAATACTCACTTGTGGAAGTGTACTGGAAATTGTATCTGTTCACCGAGCTGCTGGCCCTTCATAGTTTCATGCTTTTTAGGCTACCCTTGGGACTGGTCTGAACTACCTGGTTACGTGCACATACAAAGGCAGTAAGCCTTTGTC